TTTTTTTTTGAGACAAGGTCTCCCTGTAGCCCTGGCTGGTCTGGAATTATATGTAGACCAGGCTAGCATCAATCTCACAGATATCTCAAGTGCTGGGATTAAAGGTGTGTGCCACCACCTCCTGAAGTTCTGTTTTCAGAGCTTGGCTCTCATGTAGGCCAGGGTAGCCTGGAATTCCCTGTATTCCTGAGGAGTGCCTTGAACTCCTGCTCTTCCTGCCTCTTCTCATACCTTGGGTGCTGAGATGACAGGCATGTGCTTGGCCTGTTGTGTTTTTATAGAATTGCAGCAGATCTCACAAAACAGTGAATCCTCTTATCCTGTGGTGCATTTGTTGTTTCCTGGTGAAAGGTGGGATATGGGTTTTTTATAGCAAGTATTTTGTTGTAACTGAGAAAAATTAATAAGAAGAAAATATTTTCACTGAGATAGGATAGGAAACAAAAATCATTGATTTTTGAAAAAAAAAAAAATAAGAGTCATAGCTCCCCAAGGCCTGTGAGGAATTGAATATTGTCTTTCCCTTAGGAAATCACCACTCTTATAGCTGGGCATGGTGGTGCATGTCTTTAATTCCAGCACTTGTGTAGGAAAAAGCAGGCTAATCTCTATGAGATTGAGGAAAACCTGGTCTATGTAGCCAGTTCCAGGCCAACTGGCTGCAGGGAAACCTAGTCTCAAAAAAAGGAACCAGTCCTTTAGACTTTATTAATTTAAAATTAACACAGACATCATAATGAGTTAATATCTTGGCAGGTAGAATGCTGTTATGAGTCATAGGAAGTAAAATGCATACTTAAGTAACATTTGAAATTTTAATACACAAAGAAAGTAGTTATAGCCTTCAGGAAGGTTCTTTTTAAAAAAGTAGTACCGAGAATTGAAACTAGGGTCTTGTACATGCTAGACAAGCACTGCACGGAGCTGTGTTCCTGGCTTCTTTACTTTTTGCTGTGACATAGTGTCTTGCTAAGTTGCTGAGGCTGACTTTGAACCTGCTGTGGGGCCAAGCGTGGCTTTAAACTGTCTTAGGTCCTGAGTAGCTGGCATTTATGGGGCTGTGCCATCAGGCCTGCCTAGGATGCAAAATAAATGTCTAAAGTTCTCAGTTATAAAATTTTATGACTCTTGATGCACGAATAAAGCTAATACGTGTATGTCTTAATATTCTTGCATAACGTTTTTAATACCTTGTATGTTAAAAATTAGAGAAGCATATATGAAGAAAATGAACTTTCTTTCTTACAAAGTGTTCTTTTCCTTTGTTTTCTTCTTTTAAATTTCTCCCAGAATGTAAATCAGCTGTCACCAGATGGCCCTTTACCACAGCTTCCCTTACCATACATTAACAGTTCAGCAACACGGGTTTTCTTTGGCCATGACAGACGACCAGCAGATGGTTAGTAAACTTTCATTTGGCCTAGTTACCTGATGACTCTTTCTTTGATGTCTTCCTCCATTGGTAGGTTGTTGAGTATTTGACACTCACTGTGTGCTGCTCCACCTGTTGTCCATCATCTGCGTGTAAACACTGCTTCAGTGTTTTCCAGGCTGAAACCCAAAAGAACCCAGACCTAAGTTATCACTGATTGCACTCTGCTCGCAGTGTGAAGAGTACTTGGTGCTCCTGGCTTTGGCAAGCATCTTCACTGTTGGGACATGCTCCACTTGGCACTCAAAGTCCTTCAGAGAAAGCCTTCTCTTTGGTCGCTATTTCTAGCCTTTTGCCCCTGTAATGTCATAGTGTGATGAACATGCATAAAATTTAGTTTAAAAACTATTTTTCTTTAAGGAAAAGTTCCATGATGTGAGCCCTGGCTAGCCTAGAACTCTGGGTAGACCAGACTGGCCTTGAACTGGAAGCAGTTCTGCCTCTGAACCACTACACCCAGCTTAGGTCTTAAATTTTTATTATGACAGTGTACATAGAAGCAGAGAATGTAGTCTTCTCTTGTAGTGGTTTTTTTTTTTTTTTTTTTTTTTAAAGACAAAGTCTCTCTATACAGCTCTGGCTGCCCTGGAACTCACTAGGTAGACCTGACCTTGAACTCAGAGATCTACCTGTGTCTCCTGAGTACTGGGATTAAAGATATGTTCCATCATGCCCAAGAATAAACCTATGTGTGTGTGTGCATGAATATTTATTTTATTTTATGTGTGTGAATGTTTTGCTTGCATGTATTTAAGTGCATGTGTGTCATGCGATCCCCACAGAGGCCAGAAGAGGGCATCAGGTGCTCTGGAATTGGAGTTACAGACTGTTATTGGTTGCCATGTGGGTATGGGAACCAAACTCATATCTTCTGCAAGAGCAACCAGTGTTCTTAACCAGTGAGCCATCTCTTCAGCCCTAGAATTTTTTTTTTTTTAAATTAAACATTGCTTTTTCTTTAGGACAAAGTCTCATGAAGCTCAGGCTGGCCTCAAACTCACTGTGTAGCTGAGGGTAACCTTCAGCTGACCCTCCTGCCTCCATCTCTGAGATGCTAGGCTTATAGTTTGTGTGACACCATGCCCAGTTTTATGTGGGTCTGAGGTTTGAACCTGGGGCTTTGTATGTGCAATCCATGGCGCTGTTTCCCCACTCCTTTTAAATACAGGATTATGTCCTTACTGCTAAGCCCGCAAAGAGCTTTATTGAACCAACAGTCTGAATATTCTGAGGCTCTTGATGCATGCTGAGCCAAAATTTATCAGTATGAATAATCTTACATTTGAGCTTAGTATGTTTCCCCTTGAAATCTAACTTGGTGCTTAAAAAAAATTCAGGTTTATAGCGGGATTGTTTAATAGCAAAAAGATTTTGATACATTCACATAATGGATGTATGCTGCAAGGCATGAGTGAACCGATTCTACAAGTTTTACTGTGGATAGTAGAGCATGATATTGAGGGGGAAATTCATTTATACTTTACATTTGAAATATAGAAACCAATTTCATATATTATTTATGAAAATTTACCAAAAACAAAAAATTCAGGCATGTATGAGAATGATAGACTTTAAGCTTCGTGACGCCAGGGGGTGAGGAAGATGATAGGGTCGACTTTGGCTCTTTTTGAAAAAATACTCAGGATCATGTGACAAAAGTTGTTTTAAGATGTGGGGCTAAGATGACTCAGCAGGTAATGGTACTTGTTACCAAGTGTCACAATCTGAGTTCATTCTCCAGGACCCACATATTGGAGAGAATCAACTGCTGCAAGTTGTCCTATGACCTCCACTTGTGTACCAAGTGTGCACCCTCTCATAAATAAATTACAATTTTAAAAATTTCAAGGTAAAGCCAGATATGGTATGGTGGTCCCTTATTTCAAGCCCTTGGGAGTTGGAGGCAGGAAGATAAGGAATTTAAATTCATCCTCTAGTTCCATATGGAATTCAAGGTTAGCCTGAGCTACATAAGAACCTGTTTCAAGAAACAAAGCAAATTTTTTTGTATACAGATAGTTTGTTTTATGCCTTTTCTGTATATTGAAATACTTTCTGTAAAAATTGTGGAAGTTAGGGAAAATAACATCTTTTTAGTCTGGAAGGAAGATTCTAGGCAAAGTTTCATTATGCTGGGATTAACATGAGGCTGTTTTGTTATCAGAGAGTTGGATTGGCCAAGAGTGTGCATATATATATATATGCATATTTATTTGAATATATCTGGTTCTTATTTAAAGTATGTTTTATATAAGGCAGGTTTTCATGAATGTGTATTTAAATATGAAACTTTGTTTTTCTTTAAGGTGAAAAGCAAGCAGCTACTCATATAAGCCTTGACCAAGAATGTGACCCTGAGTCCTGTCAGCAGTGGCGAGAACTCGAGGAGCACGCTGTGGCTGTGGCCAACAGAGGAGCAATTCCAGCCGGCTTCCAGCCCACACAGTATTGCTTGAACAGTTACTCGGATAACTCCAGATTTCCACTTGCAGTTGTGGAAGGTGGTATACTGGGGTCTTTATTCATGGCTTTTCATTTGCTTACTTATAGTAAGATAATTTGCTCTCTGCTGCATGCTGCTGACGGCTAGGGATGCACATATAGCCGATCATCTGCTGAGCTGCATTTCTAACGCCAGATGGGTAATACCCACCTATGTGTTTGAGACTGGAATAAGGAGGGACATTCTCTACTACAGGGACACTGAGGAAGAGTATTTTCCAAACCAACTTCTAAGTAAATAGACTTTTTTTCTTTCTTGTTTTGAGACAGGGTCTCACTACTCAGCCATCTTGCCTGGAACTTGCTGTGTAGTCCAGGCTGGCTTGAACTCGCAGAGATCCACCTGCCTCTGACTTCCCAGTGCTAGGACTAACGGTGTATACCACTACACCTGGCCCAAGAATAGACTTGTATAGGGTAATAAAGGAAGGATAGGCTGAGCAGGCATGCAGACCTGTGGCTATGTACAGAGGTCTGATGCTGACCTGTGGGGGTATACAGAGCTCTGATGCTGAGGGGTGAGTCTAGGGGTCATTGATGTTCCTAAATGTGGGCCTTTTTCTTCTGCAGAACCAATTACAGTGGAAGTGGCTTTCAGAAACCCTTTGAAAGTTCCACTTTTGTTGTCTGATTTGTCATTACTCTGGAAGTTTCAGCCTAAAGATGTCAGTGGAAAAGATGATGAAGAAGTTAAAGAACTAGTAAGTTATTAAAAGGTATTTGTGATAAGCCTATTTCAGTTATAGCCTAACAAGTATTGTGCTGACATTTTTGCTTCTGTTCAATAAACTATACTTACTTTTTTTCCACTTATTTTTCCTTAATTATAAAATTCCCATGTGCTTGCTTTTGAAATTTGAGAGTACAGAAAAATGAGGCATAAAAGGAAAACAATCTGAGATTCTTTAGGAATAACCACCGTACCATTTTGCTGTGTGTCTTTCCAGCGGTTTTCATATGTGTGCTTTGCTGACACTCGTGATTTTGTTCTACTGTACATGCTGCTGGGTGTTTTTGGTTTTTGGTTATGTTGTTTAAAGTGTAATATTTCATTTTTATGTAGTCTATCATGTAGATGATTCATAGACTATGATCATTACCAGTTGGTTGGTAGGTTTCCATGTTTATTCTCTTAATAATTCTACAGTGAATTTTTAAATTTAAATTTTGGTTGAGTTTTGGGTCAAAGCCATAGCCTTATGCATGGTAGGCAAACTATACCCCCATGTCCTGTGGCAGTTATTTTGTGAATAGCCTTTTAGCTGTAAGGTTATTTCTGCAGGAGAGATTCCTAGGCACAAAATTAAAGATATTAAGGAAAAAATATTTAATCCCTTGTCTCACAAAAAGCCATTGCAGCAAGTTTCACATCATCAGCACATGGGACCATTATGTACACAAAAAGATGGGGAATTGATAGGTGAAAATGCTGCCTCAGTGATTTTATTTCCAGTGGACTGAATTCCAGTAAAGTTGAAATTAATGTATTATGTAGTGAATTGTCTCTATAATCTTCATAGGTATTTGTCTTTTATTTTAATCTTTAAAAAATATTTTTGTCTTTAATTACTTAAGATTGTGGGGTTGTTTTTATTATTTTCTTATTTTTTGAGATGAGATCTCAGTAATATAGCTCAGGCTGCCTGGAACTCACTTTGTATATAGTTCAAGCTGGCTGCAAATTTGTGGTCTTTCTGTTTCATCCTCCTAGTTGTTGGGATTACAGGTGTGAGCCACCCACTGGTTTAGGATTGCTGTGTGTGTATGTGTATGGTATATTAGTATGTCTGTGCACGTGACATGTGCATGTTGAGGTCAGAGGACAGCTTTTAGGAGTTCTTTTTTTTCTTGGTCTTTTTTAGACAGGGTCTCCCTGTAGCCCCAACTGGCCTAGAACTCACTATGTAGACCAGGCTGGCCTTGAACTCACAGAGATCTACCTGCCTCTGCCTCTGGAGTACTAGGACTAAAGGTGTACAGCACTACGCCTGGCATTGGGAGTTGATTCTTGCTGTCCACTCTGAGGCAAGTCTCTTTGTTTCTGCTGCTGTGTTGCTGCATTACCCTGAGCTAGCTGCCTGGGAGCATCCTGTTTCTGCCTTCTGTCTTGCCATAGGAGTGCTGGGACTCAGATGTGTGCTATGGAACCTGGCTATTACATGGATTCTGGGAATCTGAACTCAGGCTGGTTCAGCTCTTGGCTTTTATCCACTGAGCTGTGGGCCATGCCATTGGAGTTAGCATGTTTGTCAGCCTCAGGCAGGGAGGGGAGCTTCAGAGAGAGCATGCTTAGGTTCTCGTCAGTATAGCATAGCTATTTTTAAAGCAGGGAATGACTTGAATGATTGTTACCCTAGTGAATTATAAAAAGTAATTTGAGCATAAATATATTTTCACTATCTCATAAGGTTATTTACCAGTATCTATTACACAATTTTTAGTTTATATTACTTTGCTGTATGTTTTAGTAATGTAGTGAAACTTATTTTAGAACTGGAAAACATCTCAACATTTTGGTATTGATCTGTGAAAGGAGAACTTGGAAGATGCCTGTACTAATTTTAAATTTTAAATTATTTTTTCTTTTGATTTATATTTTTTAAAGAGATTACCTTATATAAATTCTTGCTGATTAACTTTGTTGATTACATTTCGTTATTAGAAGAGTATGACTCGTGGAAATTGGAAAAAAATCTTTTTTTAAAGATCTAGCTTTTAAAATCTCTAGCTTGTTCCACATATTAGATTCCAAAGGCTTAGAAAAGTTGTGAAGATTTTTTAGTACTTTAAAAATAAATAGTAGCTGGGGCTGAAGAGATGGCTCAGAGGTTAAGAACACTTGCTGTTCTTCCAGAGGACCTGGTTTGATTGCGATCACCATATGACAGCTCAAAACTGTAAGTCCAGTTTCAGGGCATCTGATGCCCTCTTCTGGCCTCTGAGGGCATTGCATGATGTGGTGTACTCACATACATGCAAGCAAAACACTCAAAACACATAAAATAAAAATAATAAATAAAATAATTTAAAATACTAGTTTGATATAGTGATGTATGCCCTTAATCCTGGCACTTGGGAGGTAGAAGGAGGTGTGCCTCTCTGAGATGGAGGTCAGCCTGGCCTACATAGCAAGTTCCAGACCAGCTGGGGCTACAAAGAGACACTGTCTCAGAAAACTAAAAAAAAGGAGTACTTTCTCCTATGAATTTCAAACGCTGGATGTACATACATGTGCTGTTTGTTTTTGTTTTTCAGACAGGGTCTCACTGTGCCGCCCAGGCTGCCCTTGACTTCACTCTCCTTGTACTTGGCTCTGAGTTGGTTCTGGTGATGGACTAAAATGTTGAACTGGAATTTAGGGAGGTTCACTTTTTATTTTTTGTATCAAACAGCTGTTTTCATGGTAGAAGTAAAATAATGCTATGAAAAATCAGATTTATATCCAGTGTGAGCCAGTTCTGCTCGGCTGTGAGAGACATTGTGTCTTCGTTGCTGTTGGGTCAGAGGAAGTGAGCTCTCTCCCACTGCTCTTACCCCCTCTGCAGCTCTCTGGCTGCTACCACCTTTTTGAAGTATAATTGGCCAATTTAGAATGGAAAGGGCTGGTAGGAGCAAAAAATGGAGAAATAAATTCTTACTGTAATATTTTGGCCATTGTTAAGAGCGAACAGTTGAACTTTGTCTCTTGGAGTAGTTTTTTTTGCCATCAGCGACCTCAGGCCTTAACCTCCCACTTGCATAGTGGGTACAGCTGCTGCTTCCACTGCTGCTTGGTCTTTAGCTTCTCCTCCTGTTTGGTGAGCTGGCAGCGCATGGCTCTTGTTTTCCTAGGACACGGGTCCAGGGGCGTGTACATCTGCCCTTGTAGAATTTTCCAAGTTCTTCTTTCTGAGTCTGGCTAATGACGGTGAGGACATGGGTGGTAGTATTTCAGACAACTTGTATCTTGGAGAGCTTGGATGTGGCACTGTCGATCACTTGAGTGACCACAGCTGGGACGGCTCAGATCTGTCTCTGCAGCTCCTCCTCCTTGTAAGACTTGATCTTGGCCTTAGCTGCGCTGCCCCCTGCTGCTGCTGTCCCTTGTCAGTTGGTTTGAAGTGATTAAAAAATACACATCATGTGCCTACCTAGCATGGTTCTGCTGCAGGTATGGAAATACACGTGTTGCACAGAACTTAGCACGTATGAGAACCAAGAATTGCTGACTTCAGTTAGTTTTGTTATGTGTGAGTGTTGGTGGATAAGATGTTGATCTGATATTTTGCTCATTATATGTATTTTTAAAAATTTGTTCTTTAGATTGCAGCTGGACCTGAAATGATCGGCACTGAAGTTATTTCAGAATTCCTAATCAATAGTGAAGAAACCAAAGTGGTAATTGTTTTAATCAATCATGTTTCTTTGCCTTTCTAAATGTGAGCTGAGAACAAATTTAAAAATCAATTTACTTTAATGCTATGTATTCTAGCGTTTTTGTTTGTTTGTTTGTTTGTTTTTGTTTTTGTTTTTTTTTTGTCTTTTTGAGGCAGGGTCTCCCTGTAGCCCCAGATGGCCTGGAACTCACAGAGATCCGCCTGCCTCTGCCAAGTGCTGGGATTAAGGTGTGTGCTATCATGCCCGGCATATTCCAGATTCCAGCTTTTTTAAGATCTAAAATTTGGAAGATTAGGAAACTGAAATTGCTCAGAAGATTAGGAAACTGAAATTGCTCAGAAGAAATCGGTAGGAAATTTTCTTAGAAGCCTATTGAAAACATCACTTTTTTTTTTCTTTTTTCTTTCTTTTTTGCTGCTGTTAACGTGCTAAATGCCACTTAGTGGAGAAGAATTTTTTAATTAAAAACATTGTTTGGGGTCTAGGGTTATAGCTCATTGTTGGAGTGTTTGCCTAGTACATGCAAGGCCCTGGGTTTAAATCTCAGTGTTATAAAGTAATTTTTAAGACCCAGACCTTTAGTGGTTTAATTTACAGATTTTCTTATAAGAAAGGTGCTTTCTCATAAGAAAAATTGATCTTTTTAAAGTTTAGGTCATGAGTTATTTCTGTAGCATTACAGAATTTAGGTGTTATACTATTAATGATACTATGAAAACATAATAAGAGTGGCTTAAATATTTCCACAGGCGAGACTAAAGCTCTTTCCCCATCACATAGGGGAGCTGCGTATTCTGGGAGTTCTCTATAATCTTGGCACTGTTCAGGGCTCCTTGACAGATGGCATTGCTGCTCTTCCTGGATATCACACAGGTAAAGCCACAGCATTGCTGAGCAAACAGAAAAGTGGTGTAAATCATTCCATAGAATGTAATGAGTGAGTACAAGGTCTTTTCTAAATAGGGCTGACTCACCTTTTAGGTGTGCCACCTTTTGTCATTGCACTGTGTTTACTCTTTTTTTAAATTTAGGGAACTCTTCAAGATCTAATGTTACTTTGTAATTACTCAGTAGTTGCTTGAAAGGATGCCAAAGAGGGGCTTTACTATAAAGTTCTCTAGTGCTTTATCTTAGCAGATGTGTCTTGTAACAAAATTTATTGACTATTGATAGGTGGGAATTTAACATTTACAGAAGCCGATTGCTATTATTGGGAAATCTGAAACACTTGGAAAATTTGTTTTCTCCTTTAAGTTTCAGTTATTTGTACTTGCCTGCTTATGTAAGATAATTCAATATGAAATTAAACAGAAGTAGAATAAATTAATATGAATTAAAAATTATAAGTGAAAATTGAGTATGATCATCTGCATTTTAGAACTGTTCCTGTTTTCTGTTGGACAAGTGCTAGGCAAGGTTAATTTGCAATCAACCCTGAGAATTCACTGTCTTTTTAAAGCACGATAAGTGGGTATTGAGGATTTTTTGAAGCTATTTCATCCCTGGTTTAGGTGAAGGTTAGGCTTAAGGATAGGTAGTGCTTTTTCAACTGCTGTTTATTTTACCACAGACTTATGGTAGCCCATTAAATACAGCTGATAGGGTACCAAAGTATATGCGTTAAATGGCACAGTTTATATTATCATATGACAGTGATCGTGAATTAACTGTTAAAATAAGTCCCATTTTATAAGCAGAGTCTTTAAGACATTTTATTGTAGATTATTTTTATGCTGAATGCTGATAAGGATCTGAGTCAAAGGAAGTGTAGAAATACTACCTTATGTATCTAATCTGAAGCCATCATAGTAACCAAAGGCTCTGATTAGCCTGCAGGAAAGATAGAGTTGTATACCCTATCCTTTTTGTTTTTGAATATGCAAGTATTACATAAAGTCTTTGGGAAAACTTGATGTGATATTAAATAAGTTTAAACTATATTATGTTTAGTTTTCATTGTTCAGTTTTGAACAATAGTTATTTATACATCTTCAAATTAGTGTCATATTTGAATATGAGTAAAAGTGAAAAGTTGATTTGTTCTCTGCTAAAAAATTTCTTTTAGCACATCTCATACCCCATATCAATGCTGGGTTCAAGACAGCTGTTTTCAGGCTTCTTTTTGTGTAATAAACATTATGGTTTATAAAATAAAGGTTTTAAAAGCCTTTCATTCAGTAATGAGTAGGATTTATGGAACATAAGTAAATCTGAAGCAAAATAAGAGAGTAAACAGCACACCATAGAGGTCATTGAGCCTGAATTAAAAGACTTAGGTTTTTTAAAAATTTTATTTCTTATTATTTTTTTATTTTATGTATATGTGTGTATTGCCCACTTGTAGGTAAGTGCACCCGTGTCGTGTCGTGCAATGTCTGCGGAGGACAGAAGAGGCTGTTGGATCCCCTGGAACTGGAGTTACAGACAGTTGTTAGCTGCCATGTGGGTGCTGGGATTCAAACCTGGGTCTTCTGCAAGAACAACCAGCGTTCTTAACCGCTGAGGCATCTCTCCAGCCCCAAAGACTTAGTTTTTGATTATTCGTGTTACTCAAAAACCACTGTTTTTCTAGCATTTATCTGAAATTTATAGTCTTCATAAGTTAAATTGATATTTTACCTACCATATTATTTTAGGGTATCAATTCTTTTCATTTCAGGAAAACAGTCCTTGAGTATGTCAGTCAGAGGGAGACAGGATTTAGAAATTCAAGGTCCACGACTTAACAACACAAAAGAAGAGAAGACGTCTATTAAATATGGTCCTGACCGACGTTTAGATCCTATAGTCACTGAGGAGATGCCCCTGTTAGAGGTATTTCATGCCTTACAGTATCGCAGGCCTCGTACTTAGCATAGCCAGATGAAGGTTGCTAATACTACTGTACATTATAAAAGCATGTGGGAAATGAATCTGGAAAATGTTATATTAGTGACTTAACCCAGACTTAGACAAAAATAGTTCATAATGTCTGCATGTATATAGTGGAGGGGAGTGGATGTAGATTATGAACCAGTAAGGAAACCATGAGAGGGAAAAAGGTGTTGGGAAGGAAGAGAGCGCATTGGGACAGATGAAACGTGGAAACTGAAAGGAGGCTGTGGGGGGCAAGAAGGTGTACGGGGCATGGGGAGGGGAATCATCAAAACCACGTTTTGTTAATAAATGCCGTAAGACCTGATACTGTACATATGTGTGCTCATAGTAGTAGTAAAGAAAGTGAATATAAAGCAACATTCCATTCACCTCTTACCCATCTTATCATGGGGTGTGGGGTAAAAGTCTTAGTTGCAAATGGTGTTAGGAAGTACAACCAGAGAAATAAAATTTGTTATTTGGTTGACAGCTATTGGGCTAGCTCAGAGAAAATTAAGTTATTAGGAACAAGTCTCATAGAAGGGAAAAGTCCAGGCAACTCCAAAGACTTTAGAAGGACTTCTTTAAGAAT